AGTTAAGCTCACTTCTTAGTGACTTCATATGGTTAACACCTTCAGGTATGGAATTGATTTGCCCTTGCCTGCTTCTTTAGTGTTTTTTTTTACTTCCTAGATTAATAAAATTCAAGTAATTATTTTTAATGGGAATCAGGCCTGGGTAACCTATTGTCAGCATAAGATCTCCCCCAATCCATATCTGTGGTCAAAGGAGAAATGTTGCTAAAACATGCCAACTAGTTGTCGATTTTCCGTAGCATCTGGTATCTTCTTTTTTTTTAAAAAAAAAAAAGCTGAAAATAGGTGGTGTTGTCCTCTGCTAATCTCAATGCTTTTATTTACATTAACTGCTGCATCTTCATTAACTGAATAAAGTTAACTGAATCTCTCCAATCCTACCACCAAAATAGACTGAACCTTTCAATCCATCCTCTGTAGGGATAATAACACCATCCCTCCTGTAATTTTCAGATGCTGGGAAAGAAACAGGCTCTGGTTTCCAAAAGGATTTCTACTCATTTCTCAAATGTAAATATTTACACTTTACTAGCAAACATAAGCATTTACTTTCAATTTATTAAAAAATGATCTGCCTGGTAATTATGAAATTTTACATCTTAACTGTCTATGTATTCAGAAGAACCCTAACCCTGGCAAGATTTAATGTTCCAACCACAATTTTTGAATGGAAAATACAGAATATCATACTGTGGGAAAGGGGTTCCTGAAACATGAACCCACATTTTGCTATTATAAAGATTATTATAAAGATGCCTAGATGCAGTTATCAAGGAGAGAAGCCACCTAGAACTAAGGAGAAATTCCCTGACAGTTAGAACAACCAGTCAGTGGAATAAATTGCCTCCAGAAGTTGTGGGTACTCCAACATTGGAAGTTTTTAAAAAGAGATTGGACCACCATTTGTCTGAAATGGTACTGTATTAGGCAGTGATGGCTAACCTTTTTGCTGTCACGTGCCAAAAGCGGGGTGAGTGCGGTGGGATCGCGTGCATGCGTGCCCACACCCCTAATTCAATGCCCACCGTGTCCCGTGCCCCCTGCATGCAAGCGTGACCCCCCCATGCCCCATTTTCGGCCTAGCAGGCCTACCTGAAGCCTCCAGAGGCCTGAAATGGCCCATTTCCCGACTTACGGTAGGCCCAGTAGGCCCGTTTTTCACCCTCCCCAGGCTCCAGAGGCTTTTGGCCGGTCCTGCCCATGCTGCCCCTCCCCTCCCAGAGCCTCCACACGAGCCCTGTACTTACCTGGCATCCAAAACGGGCCATGTGGAGACTTCTGGGAGGGGAGGGGTGGCATGGGCAGGACCAGCCGAAAATCAGCTGCCCAGCGCGCACATATGCGCTGGAACTGAGCTAGGGCAACGGCTCGCGTGCCCGCAGGTATGGCTCCGCGTGCCACAGATGGCACATGTGCCATAAGTTCACCATCACGGGTATAGGGTTTCTTGCCTGAGCAGGACTAGAAGACTTCCAAGGAGACTAGAAGACCTTCAAGATCCTTACCAACTCTGTTATTCTGTTATTCTGTCAGTTAACCCATTTAGTCTAATTTCCAGGTTAGCCAGATTCAGTTTATTTAACATTGTTACTATCTGATCAATGTGATTTTATTTGTCTGACCATCGCTAAGTTTTGTTTTGCTATTTGTATAGTAGACCAGATTTTGGCCACACCAGTTTTATTATTATGCTTACTTATTATTATTTACTGTGGTTTTTATTTGCTGCTCAGAATGTGTGTGTGTGTTTTTTTTTTTGAATTGGTCAATGACTGCCTGCCATTTTTGTCTTCTGTTTTGTTTCTGAAGATTTGTACTAGTGCCAATGCATTGATTAAAAAAAGAACACTGTATATTTATTTATTTATTATATTTGGCTATCTAGCTATCTATCGTATGGCACATTCACATCATATTTCAGTGAAAAGGAACACGGGGTAAAATACAAAACATAGAATATAAAATCTACAGACATGTATCTAAGTTGCAAATATAGTTTTTTACTTCATTTGTCGCAGACAGGAAATCAGTGAAATCTCCATAATAAGCTCGGTTTTGACACTATCACTATGTGTTGGATAGTTTGTTTGTTTTTTTGCACCACAGTCATAATTTGGTGATGGTATTTTGCTGCACTTGTAGAGGGGTTTCTGCACATCTATCACAACCAGTGTAAATTTGGTTCTGTGTTGTCCATATCACATGGTGATGCTCACATACAGTTGGTTTTTCCAAGATGCATAGAAAGCTTCAACATTGTGGGGGGCAATCTTTTATCCATTGTTGTTTCCACATGTGTGGATCGAAATCATCTTTTACAAGTGCGGGATAGCTGGATGTCTAGATCTCAGCCCGTTTTCCTCCAAGCAGGCTAGGTCGCTCAGTATTGGCAACTGGGAATTGTCAATAATCTTCAGTTATTCATGAAGAATGTCCTTTTTTTTTTGAATGCTGGAAAAAGGAGAGGAAATAGTTGAATGCCTATTTTTATATTCCAATGATATCATTTGTCAGTTTGTGTGTCTCTGATGAGAAAACCAAAATAAAACACAACACATGAAAAAACTCCTAGATCAGACTAAGGAAATTATCAATGCAGGGCAGCATTTTAATGTCAGATTACTTAAATCTTCAAATTGCCTCCCACAAAACCTCTAAACAATTGCTTTTTCTAAACCACTACAATTTTTGACATAAATGGATATAAACGGCAAAAGTACTAAGTTAATGTATAACACAACATTTTTACTCTTTTTACAATAGGAAGTCTTCAAAGACTTTATCTCCAGCTTTATTTTATTGAATATATAAGAACTCAGGGACATTTGTAAAAAAAAAAAAGAGATCAAGAGTCCCATCCCCATATACAACATTGATGATATACAAAAGGGGTGGAACTTGTGATTGCCATCTTGACTTTTGACCTCTCCACAGACCACCTGTAAGAATACAGTACTTGTTTTTCATTTGTGCATATTGGAGTAGATGCTGGCTCTACTGAATCATGTTACTGAAAAAAACCCATGTTTGATTTCTCAAATCAATTAATCTTAATCAATTAGTCATTAATTTTAAGCACATTAGTGTCACCAGTGATTCGAGATTCAGTCTTTTCAAAATGAAAAGTTCCCTGCTGTTTGAAAGCTGATTTTAGCACTGATCTCCATGATCTGAAATGGCTAGGTCATGACCGTCTATATTTTGTCACCTTAGAGTCACAGCTGTTCAGTATTAGAAAACAGTGATTCTCAAGTTTCAGGTTTAATTCATCATTGCCTAGCAACTGACAGAAGCACCTTGCCAAATCATGCTTTGTTTCAGTCACTAAATCCTGAGACATATCTTTGGCTTGTTTAATCACCTTACATGAACTAATCCAGAATAGGGGAGAAAAAATAATAATAATCGCAAAGCAATTTAAATCCTAAGAGTACTGTATGCAGTTCCTGGAAGCATCCAGGTCCCAAGAAAATTCTTGATTATCTTTTCTGTCTTCAGCAAGTTCTTTAGAAAGAAGAAAAAGATGCATAAGCTGTCCCAGAATTCTGTTTCTTTTTACTGTTGGGTGTTGGGCATGTATTAATTTCCTGGTCCTGACCTCCCTGAGTCCTTGAGAATCTTGCAAGATTCTGTTAATGTAGCCTTGCAATAAAGTAGAATTAGTTCATCTACTTGAGTTTCCTGACTGGTTTATTTGGGAGGCCTGACATCAGTTTTGCAAAACTCAAGGTACAGACTTTTAACAGCTTGATCAATTAAAGAAACTTTCTAAGATTCTTTCTCTGACCTTTAAGTCACTGGAGGTTCCTGCCTCTGTTATCTGACGGCTTCCTAGGCAGCATCACTTCCCATCCTCCCCCAAGGTCATCCACACGTTCCATTACAGTTAGCCAGAAAAGATGCTAACTCCTGAATTTTTGTTGCCACTATAAATAAGCAAGCTCTCTTCCTACATAGTTCTGAGCCTATGCCTCCTGAAGTTACCTCATAACATCAATTCTTTTTAATTATCCATTAGCAGCCTTGAAGTAAAGCTCTTAGTATTTCTCTTGTAATCATTCTAAATGACTCTGGTGGCATTTTTCTTCTGGTTTTCCTTTCTAATTATTTTAATTGAAGACCAGGAGAATGTTATAGTGATTAACGTATTGAGGAAGGAAAAGGGAGAGTCAAGTTTTAAGTCTACCCTTGGTGGAGACTCGGGCCAGTCAGTCTCTGTGCTCAATTATCTCACAGGATTATTGTTGTGGGAAAATGATGGGAGAAGAGGAAATGCTACATATCTCACCTTGAACTATGGGATATAAATTTAACAAAGTATTCTTTGTGTTTCTGTGCTTCATTTGGTTCACATAACTATTTGGACCCTAGTATTTAGTATGAGTGTGTAACTATATCAGTGTTTCTTAGCTTTGGCAACTTGAAGATGTGTGAACTTCAACTCCCAGAATTCCACTGTCAGCACATGCTGGCTGGGAAATTCTGGGACTTGAAGGCCGCACATTTTCAAATTGCCAAGGTTGAGAAACATTGGTCTATATAATGAAGGCTGAGTGTATTTTCTTTGGTATATAGTAAATAATTGGTTTTTTTCCCTTTTTATTGTTTATTTTATGTATATGAAAATATTGGTTGACTGAGTTTTTTTCTTCTGTATGAAGTTGAATGATCATGACATTAACTGGCCTTCAACATTTTCAATATTATCAATAGGAACAAATTTTCCCCAAATGTGTAAGCCAGAATTAATTATTCTTCATAACAGTGTATAAATCCACTATGTATGCTCCGTATTTCAATTTTAAAAATATCTATACTAATAATATATGTGTATGTATTAACATTTGCACGTCTATAGGGATAGGGGCTCTCAGGCAATATAAAACTGCAATGTATTATTCTCCCTGAGTATTACTTGTTCAGATGTCAGCATGCATGTAAAAGAATATTTTTTAATTATTCATTGCTAACTGGAAATTACAATTATTCCATTCTAGGAATAAAGATGAAAAATGGATGTCCAGGGCTTGGCTTGTTCTATACATTATTATCTGCCTTCCTGTTCTCTGTTGCTTCTTTATTTCTAAAGAAAATTGAAGACGTTCATTCAGTGGAAATCAGTGCTATTAGATGTGTTTTTCAAATAACATTTGTTCTTCCTGGATTAATATATTTCAAGTGAGTATTCTCTTCCTTTTGCATGTAAAAAAACTCTAACAAACTTCGTAGAAGATTAAAATGCACAAAAGATGTATGGGATGGATATATGTCTATGGAGATTCTCAATCATTCAGATCATGGTTGTCCCAAAGGTGCTTTTGAAAAGGCAACTGGATTTTCTTGGGTTTTTTCCTTGAAAATGTTTCACTTCTCATCCAAGAAGTTTCTTAGTCAGAATTGAGGAAGCTTCTTGAATGAGAAGTGAAATGTTTTCAAGAAAAAAACTATGAAAGTTTAGTTGCCTTTTGAAAAGCACCTTTGTGATATGTGGGATGGGTAAATATAACTATATAGTATGTTGAGTTTTAATCAGAACATTATATAATTATATACTTTTTGCAGCTAACATGACTTAATTCCACAATATTTTAAATTGATACAGGGATGCATGGCATGCATTTTACAAATCTGGAGCAAAGCTAATGTGATGATAGCAGAGTTAAATCCAATTAAGGTCCTGTCAGATCTGTGTAAAACAGGATTGGGGGAAAAGAAGATTAATACTGTAACTTAAGCAGGCAGAACCAGAATCCTGACTTCTCACAGGGTTGGCTTATTTATCATTTTTATATATTTATACATTATTTATATTACTGTATATGTTTATCTTGATGAGATTTCCCAGCCAGAGAAAAGGGCTGTATAGAAGGGACTTGAAGACAGAGTAATCAATTGTGAATAGGAGACCTCCATTCTCTTCTTCTGCTTTCAGTGTCCTTCTATATAGCAAAGGTCTAAAGAGTGCCTTATTACATTGCTTAATGTATAATGCATCCGCCCATATGATAGACAAGGACCTCACTAATGTGTGAGGTTGCTATTGAGTTTGCAGCTGGAAGACAGTTTGCTTAAGGAGATGAGGGCACTAAATCAAGAGAATTGACAATTGTACAGATGTATGATGGTGATAGCATCTGGCTCATCTCTTTCAACATGTGAGACTACCAGGGAATAAGGGATCCCATTTTATGATTATTTTATTTATTGATCTTGTTGTTTTCCCCTACCTGATATTTACATTACTTATAATTTTGTTATATTGTTTTTATTCTGTTTTTAAGTATTGTTAGCTGCCCGGTATTGTGTATTGTTGACGGGTAGCCATATACCAGGGTTGTAGACCAGACTGGGAAATTTTAAAAAAATCCCCAAAGAAGTCAGTGGCAAACCACTTCTGAACTATTGTTCAGAAAATTGCATAGATGTCCCCATGAGTCAAGTTCAACTTGCATAGCTTTCATAAGATGGCACTACTAGTTTGAACTTCCTAATTACAAGCTCAGTAGCAGATGAAGACAGAGGAGAATAACAGAATGTTGACTAGTCTGTGTGAAAAAAAGCTAGTCAACAAAAGCATTTGTGCAATACTGAAAATGTTTTAGGACCATCCTTTGATGGTGAATTGATGCCAGTGAGGAATCTGTTCTTAATGATTGATTAAAAAAAAAAAGTTCTATTAGTTGAGAACTATGACTTGGATGAGTGAGAATCTCCACAGGCATTCTATTACTTGATTTGAGTAGCTTCAATAAATACCCTCCAGCATGCTTATTTGAGAAAGGGAATACTTATTTCATTTTGTTTATTTATCAGATTTATTTGTCACCTGTCTCACAGTTAACTTTAAAAAAAAAACTTGTAAGCACATTTATAAGTTTGATGAACTTCAGAACCTTGAAGAAAGTGCATTTGATATAAGGGTTAAGAATATGGGTTATATGTTGGAGTTATCAGATATGGCTAAATTGACTGTTTTAATTAAAGAAAAAAACATAAATACCTTTATTTCTACTTGGAAACCACTTCTGGACTTGGTGCTGGAAGTGGGAAAAAAATTGAAACTTTGATTTTGGGTTTTACTGATTAGATAGATTTGTTGTTATAGAAATGGCTAGTTTCTATTATTATGAAAAAGTAAAAAGTTGAGGGTAGATGTTAATGCCTTATTTTACTGCTCCAAAGGAGTCAAAAGTCAATGCCTTTTTTTTCTTTTTCCCTTGCTTTCCTTCAGTATCCACTTCCCTTTTTCCTTCCCTAATTTCCTTAATATTTACCGTATTTTTCGGACTATAAGATGCACCGGAGTATAAAACACACCTAGATTTTGAAGAGGAAAACAAGAAAAAAAATAATTTTTGGCCTCCGGGCATCCAGTTTTTGCCCTCCCTGGCCCCCAGGAGCACTCTGCAAGCCTCCCAAACCCTTTGCGCGTCCCATTTTTGTGGAAAACGGGCCCATTTTTGGCCTCCTGAACCCACCCACCCCCACGCGTCCCATTTTTGCCCTCTTTAGCCCCCAGGAATACTCTGCAGGCCTCCAAAGCCCTCTGCCAACTTTTGATGAAAATGGGACGGGTGGGGTGGGGGATTTTCGGGAGACCAAAAACAGGGCCATATTCGGTCTATAAGATGCATCAACATTTCCACCCACTTTTTTGGGGGGAAGTGTGTTTTATGGTTGGAAAAATATGGTACCTTTGTATTCTCATTGTGTGTCATATTATAAATTTTATACACACACACACAGAGTGTTTCTCCGAAAATAAGACCCTGTCTTATATTTTTTTGAACCCTGAAATAAGCGCTTGACCTTATTGCCATGTGCTCAAAAGCCTGATTGGGCTTATTATCAGGGGATGTCTTATTTTGGGGGAAACAGGGTATATAAATAAATATAAAAGAATATGGGTTATAAAAGGTACTAAAGTTAAATATTAGGAGAATTTATATGAAACAGTTCTAACATTATTGTTCTTGAATTTGAATTTGTAGTGTTTGTTCTAAAATTCATAGTGTGATGTTAGGGATACTGAAGTATGATTATTGACTCTCAAGCATAAGGTACATATGATGTCTCTCTCTGTTTTTTTCTTTCATTTCAGAACAGGATTCCTAGGACCAAAGGACAAGCGACTAGTTCTTTTCCTCCGAGGATTCCTTGGCTCCAGTGCAATGATCCTTGTTTATTACTCTTTCCAAGTGATGCCTCTTGCTGACGCTACTGTCATTACATTCAGCAGCCCGGTTTTTACATCCTTCTTTGCCTGGATCTTCCTCAAAGAGAAATACAGTCTCTGGGACCTTCTTTTCACCCTGATTACAATCACCGGAGTAGTCTTTATAGCAAGGCCCCCTTTTTTATTTGGATCCAATGTTCTTGACATGGAAGAAAGTTACACAGATCATCTTAAAGGAACCATAGCAGCCATTGCCAGTGCAGTAGCCGCCGCCTTAACTTTTGTGATCCTAAGGAAAATGGGGAAATCCGTCCATTACTTTTTGTCCGTTTGGTATTATGCTATAATTGGGTTAATTGTGTGTATAATCACGCTTTTTATAATGGATGCGTGGAGTTTGCCCAATTGTGGTATAGACAGATTTCTCCTAATCTTAATTGGATTGTTAGGACTTGGTGGTCAGATATTTCTTACTAAAGCATTACAGATTGAAAAAGCTGGCCCCGTTGCTATAATGAAAACCATGGATGTGGTGTTTGCTTTTATTTTTCAAGTCCTTTTTCTTAATCATATACCAAGATGGTGGACAGTGGGAGGTGCTCTTTGTGTGGTAGCCAGTAGTTCTGGAACAGTTTTCCGCAAGTGGTATCAAAATTCCAAAAGAAGCACAGAACAAAAAATTTAATCCGCTAGGTGTTCTGTCATTGTTAAATAGAACAAAGTATTATGATACTTATTTTAAATAATTCATCAATTGGCCAGTTCTCTCGACTCAGTGTTCATTATCTAGGTAAGAATCCTAACCATAACCAGCTTCTTTTATATCAGGGATGAATCTAAACAAGAAGAAAGATTGTTTTTGTGTGCCAAATTTGCCTTGTTTAGCAGCCTTTGTGCCTTGCAAATCCAGCAATTTCATAACAGGTTATGAGTATTTATTCTTTAGGTTAAAAAATGTTGCAAAACCAAAACGCCATAAGGTTTGCCTAAGTGTTTAGAAAATAGGTTTTGCATCCTAACTCTGATTTCTTATGTAAGGCATCCCTGCTACGTTTTCATAAAGCTGATTGATCTCTTGGCGCCAATGTATGCACTATAAAAACTATGAAAAAGGAAGCACTGTGAAGTTGCATATCTTCCTTCTCCACCTCTCTTATAACTTGAAAAGTGTAACCAAACTCTTAACTTCTAAACCATTCCAAAAGTGGGATTTGTGAAGTACAGAATTATGTCTTATTTCACAATTTAAATTGAAATGGATGCAATTTTGGTTTCACAGTGGAACTGGGAAAAAGTCAGTTATTTATGGTGTGTTTCCCAATTTTCATTCAACTTGAAATGTTTGTTGCAACATTTGAACATTGTTTTTAGTCCATTGACTTCTACAGGGTAAATATAATTGGCTATAATATGCCAATTGCAGCAGATAATGATCTGTAAGTGCTTTGGATATAAACATCAGGTGCTTCCACTATGCCCACTTTGAATTTTAATTTAGATCACTTTACATTTATATAAACTAATTTGATTGCATATGATATTGTATGACTGAATCATGCAGATTGCAGTGTTAAAATTACACTGCATTGCAGCCTCATAAACTTTTAAAACATAAAATAGAATGATATAGACTACAAAAACTTCCTCTTACAATATTCAAAGCATCAGTTTTGTTATTTTAGTGTAGTACATTAACTAAATTCAGATTGGTCTCTTTTCAGCTGCAAAATGAATTCTTGTTTCTTTTTGTCCACTCAAGTCTCTAAAGAACAGATTTTTTTTATTTAAAAAATTATGAATACTACTTTTGATATAATTATGTCTTGTATTTTGTTTAAACAGATTTTATTGTATTTGTAGAGATGTAAACTACAAATTTGCGTGTCTTAAATATATTATTTCTGAGTAGAAGGAGTGAAAGCCATATTATGCTTGGATTGTGGGCAACGTTCTGTGCATGGAACAGTTGCTTTTGAGAGGCCCAAGCCTGAGCTGATCTATTTTGAGTAACCCATTGTGGGGTCTGTACATGGAAGGAATAAAAGGCCATTTTGATGCTGGGAAAAGGAATTGTGGGTGGGGATGGGGAGGCCTGGGGAGGAGGCCAAGGATGGAGGTGACTAAACAACAGGAAATGGGAAGCACAGATTGGACCACAGAGACACTGTCCTGGACATGGGCCAGCTGAGAAGAAAGAGAAGATCCTTGACAGGGCAGGTGGGCTAATCAGATATGCTATGCTAGAAGCTGATGAAAAAGGGAGAGTCACCTAAGTCAATCAAAGTGGTCCAGGGTTTGGTTCTACTCAACCACATATGGTCCAGAATAGTTCAGTGGAAATTCCAGAATGTGGAAGTTTGTTCTGAGTTTGAAAGCAAGCATTTTCTTCTCTTCATGCATACCTTCCTACTAGTATTCAATTACTAAAATTCAAGTCAAGGAATAAATTGAATGAAATCCCCCAGCATCTATTTGCCAACAGAAGGGTCATCCTTAATAGAACATTCTCTCTGTCCTACTATAACTCTCTCTTGTGTCCCCCAAAGATGCAGTTCAGATAGGTACTGAACAGGGAGAAAAGATAGGAGAAATTACTTAGTCAGGAAGATATCTGCTTGCTCACTGCATAGTGGAACCCAACAATTACTTGTATAGGGCCAATTCTTTTTAGAGAAACGGACTGTAGTTGCTGCCTTCTGCAATACTATGCATTTTTTAATATTTTAGTAGTATTCCTGTATACTTAAAGCATTGTTTGTTTATCAAATGTTCCATTTAAGATGGTAATTTTGTTACATATTAAAAATAAAAAATATTAAAAATATGAACCAAGTTTACAGCCTGAAAAAAATAAAAAAAAATATTATCCTCAAATCATATTAACATTGCTGCATGACATTGTATGCAGATATGCTATTGAATATTATTAGGATTGTTGTATGTGTGGATTGAAATCCAGTTATTTAAATTGATTGATTAAATGATTGATTTAGGCTCAGGTTATGTTCCTGATAATTCTAGGAAAGTAATTGTAATCTGGTAGTAAAAGTGTCCCGTTTCAGTTATTCTTCTGAAGATGTGAATTTATACAACGATCCCTTTCAAAAAAGAAGAAAACATTGATAAAAGGGTTATTCAGATTAAATATTTTGTATACATACATAATTTAAGACCTGGGCTAAGATTTGTTGTTGTTAGTTGGGAAGTCATGTCCGACCCATTGCGACCCCATGGACATTGTTCCTCCAGGCTTTCCTGTTCTCTACCATCCTCTGGAGTCCATTTAAGCTCACGCCTACTGCTTCAGTAACTCTATCCAGCCACCGAGTTCTCTGTCATCCCGCTCTTCTTTTGCCTTCCATCTTTTCCAGCATTACGCTTTTCTCCAGTGAGTCCTTCCTTCTCATTAGGTGGCCAAAGTATTTGAGTTTCATCTTCAGCATCTGGCCTTCTAAAGAGCAGTCAGGGTTGGTCTTCTCTAGGACTGGCCTGTTTGATCGCCTTGCAGTCCAAAGGACTCACAGGAGTCTTCTCCAGCAGGGCTAAGATTACATGGGCCATATCCGCAGATCTAGGACCAAGAAGTTATACTGAACTTTATTGCAAAAGACATGTCCTTACTGCGGGGCTCTCTTACGTGACCAGCCCACATCTGAGGAGGACTGAAGCTGGATCCTGATGGGGTTTTCCATATGACTTGTGTTCCATGGAGGAGTTTTCAGAGGATTGGCAACCTGCTGGGCTGTGCCCACCTGGCCTCCTTCAAGAGCATCTGGCCAGAGCAACCTGTGCCTCCATGGGCAATTTTGCTTTGGCTGCCAGAAGGATGGGTCGCCTCATCAGCAAAGCCCGTGTCTCTTACAGGTAGTCCACATTTAGTGACTGCAATGGGTCATGGCAAAATGGTTGTTAAGCAAATCACAGAGAATTGAAGAAGCTTCTTGAATAAGAACTGAAACATTTTGAAAGGAAAAAAAAAGGTCCAGTTATCTTTTGGAAAAAGCACCTTTGGGACAACCATGACTTAGATGATTGAGAATCTCCATAGACATTCTGTCTCATTCAGCTAAAGTTCTCCCCTATAGTATCCTGTGCCTGACCTGGGGTTCCCCCCCTTTTTTTTTGCCCCATTGCAGCGTGGAGAAATTATTCAAACAAGCAATCTCTTCTTGAGCTGCTTTTTCCCACAGTGCCTCCCTCCCTCCCTAAAACCTGGAAGTTAATAAGCTCAGCCCTGTGACCTTGTTTAATTGAGTAGAATCTTCTCCCCAGCTGGCGATGCAGCCTTAAACTGAGCAAGCCTTAATCCGTTTCACATGATGCCTATTAGTGTGCTAAATGCCTACATTGGTTATATTTGTACAGGGTTACTTGTTCGTACTTGTTGGTTTGTTCATTTGCCTGCTTGCTTATTAGAAGGCTGGCTGTACATGGAACAGTGGCTGCACATGGAACAGGAAGCCAGTATTTCCATCAGCACACAAAACGGAACTCCTGCTAAAGATATTACAGGATTTCAGTAAAGAAGTTGGCTGAGGTGCACATTAAAAAGAAAAAAACTTTCTTTTTAATTTATTTATTTATTTATTTGTTTTAATTTGTATACCACCCTTCTCCAGCAGGACTCAGGGCGGTGAACAGCCAGAATAAAACAGAACATACAAAATTTAAAAACAGTTTTAAAATAATTAAATATTTTTGGCTGCAATTTAAAACAACCCAATTAAAATCAATTAAATTTAACCAAAACAGTGGGATCAAGCCAGCCCGGCTAGGTGAAATAAATAAGTTTTTAGGGCCCGATGAAAAGTCCAGAGGTCTGGTATTGTACGTATCTCTGGGGGGAGGTTGTTCCAGAGGGCGGGCGCCGCCACAGAGAAGGCTCTCCCCCTGGGGGTCGCCAGCCGACACTGGCAGACGGCACCCTGAGGAGGCCCTCTCTGTGCGACCGTACTGGCCAGTGGGAGGCTATTGGTGGCAGAAGGCGGTCTCGTAAATACCCCGGCCCTAAGCCATGGAGCGCTTTAAAGGTGGTCACCAACACCTTGAAGCGCACCTGGAAGACCACCGGGAGCCAGTGCAGCTCGCACAGGAGAGGTGTCACATGGGAGCGCCCCATCGCTCCCATAATCCCCCGCGCGGGGGGGATTTAGGAATATCAGACACTGCGGGAAGCATTTAAATAGCAATAGCACTTAGACTTATATTCCGCTTCATAGTGCTTTTACAGCCCTTTCTAAGCTGTTTACAGAGTCAGCATATTGCCCCCAGCAATCTGGGTCCTCATTTTACCTTACTTCCACACCCTCCCAATTCTTGTCTTTTTCTTTCCCAGTTTTGCTATCAGAGAATCATCCAGGAAGGAAAGCAGGAAGTTTTCTGGTCTTTTGTGCTATGATTGCAGAAGAGCTGGTTTGCTCTACCCACCATTTTCTCTCAACTCCTGATATTTGACAGAATCCTCTCGTCCATTTGCTCTAAAAGATAAGAAACAATTCAGTAGGCCTCAACTTAATAATCATTCATTTCGTGACCAAAGTTACAACGGCACTGAAAAAAGTGGTTTTTTGATGGTTTTAAGACTGGTAGCAATCCCCATGGTGATCAAAATTTGGATGCTTGGCAACTGGTTCATATTTGTCCCATGATCATGTGATCGCCTTTTGCAACTTTCTGACAAGCAAAGTCAATGGGGAAGCCAGATTCCTATAACAACTGCAGTGATTCACTTAACAATTGTGGCAAGACAGGTTGTAAAATGGGGCAAAATTCACTTAACTGTCCCAGCAACAGAAATTTTGGCCTCAATTGTCATAAGTTGAAGACTATCTATTTTCAACTTTCACTGTAAACATTAGTAACATGTTGGGCTGGGGCTTTATTTCAAACTTCAGATATTCCCCAATGCAGCATAATAAAACCAGTCTAGTTATGGGAAAGCACAAGTGTTTGACATATGTATTTTAAATATCAATTTTCATAGACATAACCAAATCTTTCTGATTTTGCCACCAAGCTCCCTGTTCAGAAATTTTCTGAATAGTAACAGGTCTAGGGGCAGTGTTGAAACAATTTGTCTTTGGGTAAGACCGAACTACAAATTCAGTAATTCATAAGATTTAAAGATCACCAGATTAGATTGTTTTACCTAGCTGTTGCCTGCTTTTTTGCAAACTCAAAATGTCTCTTTTTCAAACTTTGGGTTTCTATTTCAAGGCAGCTAAATTTTCAGGCCTTTAAAGAATATTAACAATGTTAAAGTTACTTTAGGCAACGGTAGAGTTTATAATTAATAAGGATGGATTAATAGACTTGTGTAGCCCAATTTTTAAGACAATTCAGCATTTGTGACTGGATTTGGATTATTAGCCCATTAGATATTTCCCCCTTCTAAAAGTTATTGTTTGTTAACATTTGGTGTGTGTGTAATACATTTATATTATACAAACAGCATTGCTTAATTTTCATTTTATGAGAAATGAAATGAGAGCCAGTTTGGTTAAGGTACCAGGCTAGAAAGCAAGAAACCATTTAAGTCCTCTCTTGCTCATGAAAGCCAACTTTGTGACTTTGGGTGAGTCACACGCTCTAAGCCCAATTTTTTTTTTAATTTGATTTATATGCCGCCCTTCTCCGGAGACTCAGGGCGGCTTACAATGCGTTAAGCAATTCACCTCACAGGGTTGTTGTAGGAAAAATAGGAGGAGAAAGGTGTATCAGAAAGTGTTGGACTCCTTGAGTTATTTATAAAAATAATATAGGTGGTATATAAATAATAGAAAATAAATAAATAGAAAATAATAGAAAATAAATATTTTTTTAAAAATTTTTTATTTATATGCCGCCCTTCTCCGGAGATTCAGGGCGGCTTACAATGCGTTAAGCAATAGCCTTCATACTTTTGTATATTTATACAAAGTCAGCTTATTGCCCCCACAACTGGGTCCTCAAATTTTCTGAAATTAGCTGCAAAGATAATGTGACTTCAGTTTGGATATGCTACATACCTTTTCAGTTTTGTAGCTTTGTTTTGAAATATTTATATTCAATATTTTTAAATTTTAAATTCATGTAAGTTCCTATTTTATAGAACATAGCTCTTCTCGATTTGTATTTTTTTGTTTAAAAGTTTCTCAGAAAAAAAAAATTAAAAAGAACATTCCTTTTAGATGGAAAACTTTTTTTTTTTCATGTCACATAATATGATCATTACTCAAAAGTGATTCAGTGTCTGGGAAAACTAAGTCACCTGCATGTTTTCATTGCCAAATTGGTCCAGAATCAGTTTTGCACAGCATATGTTTCGTTTTTATGAACCAGCATTTTTATTGGTATTCGTTTACTGTTATTTTAAATATTATCTATTTCTTTCACATAACTAGCATCAAAGTTTCTGGGGAGACAGTAACCACATTCAACTACCCTTGGTTAAACTCATCCAATCCACAAAATTAAAATTTGGGCTCGTATTCTTGGGAAGGTTGAGAGACTAGGCTGGCCAGTTGTAGGTAATTCCTCCCTACGCTTCCTAAGTCAACATGAGACAGTGATGGTTAGACAGCCAAGTCCTACAGTATGTGTAGTCTCTATTAGTAATACCTGAAGAGGGCTTAAATGACAGGCAACATAAGAGCCTTGGTGGTGCAGTGGAATAAAGTGCTGTTAAAGTAGCACAGCTGCCAGCTGCCTGCAATTACTGCGAGTTCAAATCTCACCAGGCTCAAGGTTGACTCAGCCTTCCATCCTTTCGAGGTAGGTAAAATGAGGAGCCGGATTGTGGGGGCAATAAGATGACTTTGTATAAAAAAGAACACCGCTGGGGCGGGGGACAAAAGCCCTACTAAGCAGGTATATACAAAAATATGAAGGCTATTGCTTAACGCATTGTAAGCCGCCCTGAGTCTCCGGAGAAGGGCGGCATATAAATCGAACCAATAAGTAAATAAATAAATATTAGTGAGTACTGCAAAATACTTCATGGCAAGTGAACACGGTACAAAAATTATAACGATAAATGAGACATATTAATCCCTTCTAATGGTGGACCTTGCAAACAATGACTTCCATTGAAGTCCTTAAAGTTTATCATGTTTAAAAGGAAAAATAAACTTTTCTTCTGAATAGGAAAGCCAAATATTGCCTTGCATCGTTGCACAACTTGGTTGAGAATGTGTTCAGGTTAACCAGCATTTTAATGGAAAGCACCTTCCCTTCTAACTGCACACTTCAGAAACTACACTTTCCCTTACCTTTTCAGTTTCATTTTTATTGCAGTTTTAACTTTTATGTCCTTTTTCCTTAGAGATTATGACGGAAAGAAAATAAAAATATTCAATATCATAGTTTGCAGTCACTTTTAGCGCTGAAAAGTTCCTGTGTGCACAATACTGTAGCATTCTTGGTACAGCCTATCCAGCATTTCATGAGAATTTGTATGTTCTATATAGCTTTAATTAATATATATGCTATCAATGAATCACCTTTCAGTGTAATTGTATGTATAAAACAGATATGAATGATAGCTTTTTTATTGTCTCTTCTAATTTTTCTCAGAAATGTGCATTTTTATAAAGAATAGCACTTCTCTGATTTTGTTTCTTCACTGAATTTAATTTAGAGAATTTTTTCCTAATCTTTACTGGTTTAATTCCCAAATGGAGAATTCTGGGGGTTGAAGTCCACACATCTTAAAGTCACCAAAGTTAAGGAACACAGAACTAGAAGACTGCTGGTCAGGTGAATTGAATAGACAGTTTAAGTTATTTGTAAACATTTCTTCCTAGAGGTAAATAGCCAGCTAGAAATCATTTTCCAGAACTTGTTTTACTGGACCCTTGTTTGCTATATCCATATGTAGATTAACATAGTTGGAAGGGACCTTGTAGGTCATCTAGTCCAACCCCCAGCCCAAGCAGGTGACCCTACACAATTTCTGACAGATGGCAGTCCGGTCTCTTCTTGAAAGCTTCCAGTGATGAAGCTCCCACAACTTCTAAAGGCAAGCTATTCCATTGGTTGATTGTTCTCACTGTCAGAAAATTCCTCTTATTTCCAGGTTGAAGCTCTCCTTGTTCAGTTTCCATCCATTACTCCTTTTCTGGCCTTCAGGTGCTCTGGCAGCCCCTCAGTATTGGAACACTGCTATCATGTCTCCCCTGCTCCTTCTCTTCACTTTTCATTTTCATTTGTGTGTTATTGTATTGCCAGCTGTATTGTTTTATGTGCTGAAGTCAACAGCTAGTAAATTGCTACCTATCTCTGAAGATATATTACATTAGACACCACAAATAGAAGTCATTTGAGTATCTGAGATTTTGCGATATATCAGGAAATTAAACAAGACATTCCTTGCCCTAGTTTCAGAATCTTTAGTGCACATTGTTAAAATATTTTTGTAGTTCCAGGACTTTTAAAGTAGATCTGTTTTTAAAATAAACCTTAATTCTTGAACCTTAGAAATGGAATGAATATTTTCATATCATGTTTATATGAAATAAAATAGGTATAAACAAACACAAAACTGCTGTTTCTTTTCATTAATACCCCGGAATATTCTCAACAACTTAATGAGAATATTGACCTGCACTCAGATTATAACTATATCTCAGATTTCTGTCATGGAGCAGGGACTGTAAGGAAAACAAAATTCATCTTCAGTGAACTACATGTATTTGGTACATTTTTTTTCCAGATTATGAGCAAGTTGTTCAAGATTTGTGGGAACAGGCTGTTGTGACTGCACTGGAATCTATTATAATAGATCTGGATGCAGCTTGAGGGTGAAGCTGTTCATATTTATTCCAAATAGGATGCTATAATTACAAGATCTGGTTACAATTTTTACTTGTAGAGATTAGCCCAAATCCTTAGCCCCTCAGTTTTTGTCTGATTTTTTTTTTTATTTAATTTATATGCCGCCCTTCTCCGGAGACTCAGGGCATCTTACAATGTGCTAAGCAATAGCCTTCATCCTTTTGTATATTTATACAAAGTCAGCTTATTGCCCCCACAACTGGGTCCTCAATTTACCTACCTTAGAAAGGATGGAAGGCTGAGTCAACCTTGAGCCTGGCGAGATTCGAACCTGCAGTAATTGCAGGCAGCTGGTCTTAATAACAGGGTGCTTTAGACCACTGTACTACCAAGGCTCCTATATATATATATATGAAACCTGGAGAAGAGATATAACAGGTGAGAAAAAAACCTCTGAGATTTGGAATAATTCATATCCAAGATGTTCTATTGGGCAGCATTCAGCAGTGACACCTAATTAGGTGAGACATTTTTAATCCCTCCCTAAAAACACTCTTTTGCCCCCATCTGTGGAAAAGAAAAGACTTAAAATGTTGCTATGTAACAAACAACAATCACTGTCTTTGAATGTTTTTTTTTAAAGGAAGGGAAATCATAAACTCGTCCTTTTGATTTATTTCATTCTAACTTTAAAGTTGAACATAATACCAAAATGGCTTTTATTATCATCATTTAAGACTATTGTCAGAAAAAGAATGTTGATTTTCCCGCAATTTTTAGTGGCTTTTGGCCTTATTCACAATGGTGTCCTCTGAAAGAGTCAGGGATTACTGTCTCTGTCGCAGTAATGCTGTTTTAACTTGACATGGTCATTTCCAGTTATACTGAAAAATTTTCTTTGGCTTTTGATCATAGGGTCTCATGAAGTTTGTTCCATTCATTCATTCATCCATCCATCTATCCATCCATCCTCTATGTATCTATCTGTCTGTCTGTCTGTCTGTCTGTCTGTCATCTATTTCTTCATTTGATTTGAGATAAATTGTGCAATTGACAACAGATATCCATTGAAGGAATAGGCAGAGTGAGATATAACTAAATCTGAATTCCAATCAGACAATAATATGATTAGTTTGTACCAAAAATTAAGATAACCCATTTAGAGATGGTTTTTACTACTCCTGAAGGAGCAGGTAACTAGACAGAGAACCTATACCCAATTACCATATTCCTCAGTTGTGGGTGTTTCTTGAAAATGTAGCTTGGCTTTAATTATTTAGCCTTCAATTATTTCAACTGGATTTGTGTGGTGCTTTCATTGAACAAACAACAGCTGATGATCAAATGAAGCAGCTAAGTGAAATCACATGATACTGATTCTCAAACCACCCTGTTCCCTGCTTTTGAGCATGTGGCCACATTGTCACAATTCATTGATGTATAAAGCCCTGGATATGTTGTGAACCAAATACTTAACAAAATGTACCAGCTGATCTATGATTTAAAAGCCTTTGGAAAACCTTGCTTAAAACCATGGGAATGGTGGACAGCAGAAAGATCCCAGATGAAGTTACTGAGATGGCAACACCCTGATTATATAATTATGTCAGTCAGGCTTTATTACTTTAATGTGCTTCAAAGATTTTTTTCATTGGGGGATTATTCTTGCAAATCTTATGCATGTGTCTGTAAAACACCGCTCTTTGCTCTTTTCGGAAGTAATTGTGATATAAAATATCATCATCTAGAAACATAATTTGATGTCAGAAAACTTACATTTGTTAGAATAAAGGTAGAATTCACTTTATGATCTAAGTTCTCTCAGGTTCTGCCAATTACCTTAAAGTGTGCTGCTTTATATAGGCCAAGTTATAAAAATGTTGAGACATATTTAAAACAATTTCTGAGTTCCTGTACACCCAAGGACTTTTCTTATCTCAACTGCTGATAAGAACTTCGATTTCTCCAATCTTAAGGACAGAGGTCAAAGCTTAGGTAACAGAGGCCTACTGGAATGGAAGGAAAAGTTGAATTAGGAGAAGGGTTTTTACTGTTTTATTGGATTGTTATATGTGGCCGAGTCACTTTCTTTGAGATGGGCTGCTATAAATTTGACTAATAAATAAGGGACACTGTACAGGGACAGATAATTCCAAGTTCACATCTATGATGTTGCTTTTATCTCTTCCCCAGCCTATGTGTGAGGTACACTTAAATTGCTCTTAGATGTCAAAAGTAGCATTTTCTTCTTTGGCTATCATCCAAGTGCAACCTCAAGATGTATACGATCATTTAAGGCTTCATCACTCACTGTCTTGGATAAAATTCGGATGAATGCAGTGACCTGAAATGGAGAAAATAAAAGTAAAGTGGGTTTGACAATGAAAACAACACATTTGTTACTGCTATAGTTTTCTAGCAATTTAAGAATAAGTGGAAATGCTAACTTAGTATTGTGGAAAGGCCTGAGGGATGGTTCAGTCTCAGTGACTTCATAAAAATATCTCAGAGTTTCAAGTTAGGCAGTATTCAAGCAGAGGCACAATTTGTGATAATGGTATTCTGTATGGGTCCAGCCATAAAGCCAAGATTGCAGTGGTCCTTCTTCAAATCATAGTATCCACCAAAAAGAGTTTTCATGTACCCCCAAAGCCACTTCATGCCAGCTGCAGAATTTTGGGAGTTGAAGTCCACATCTTTTGAAGTTGTCAAGTTTGAAAGACACTGCTTTAGTGCCATCCAGTGGTGTAAATAAACAAGTTGAGAATTTAGAAGATGCTTTTATAGAAGCGATTGGATATACTGGTTTTTCTTTCTCTCCTCTTCCGTTTCTCTCTCTCTCTTTCCCTCTCTCAGCATACACTGAATAGACTTGCTAGAAATTACTTTGGAAGAATCACATGGTGTGAAACATATTGTTGAAATTACTGGCCTTTAAAAAGCCCAAATCACTTCTGTTTCTTATGATCATTGTAAGATGAGAGAATCATGTTAGTCTAAGATGGAGGAGGTGGCCAGAAGTCTGCTAGGATCTTTTCCAGCCAACATATTTTATTAAAAGGTATAAACTGCAGCTCATGAAGGTTTATGCCTTTAAATAAAATTGTTAGTTAGAAAAAGTGCAAACACATTCCTGATTTATAGATGCTTTGGTAGACTTATCTTGAACGGTATACTCCTTTCTGTGGATAGATGAATAATCAAAATTGCCTTGAATGATTTTTTTTTTCAAATTACAACTGGTATGTATATACTATAATATATTGTTCACTCATTATGATGTTGACTTTAATATGGTTAATCCATATTGCATCAGATGAATGAATGTACACAATCCTTTATTTTATGTATATCCTACATTTGTTATTTTTATACATAATTCAAGGTGGCGAACATACCCAGTACTCTTTCCTCCTCCTATTTTCCCCACAACAACAACCTGTGAGATGAATTTGGTTAACTAGACCAAAGTCACCCAGCTGGCTTTCATGCCTAAAGTGAGATTAGAACTCAGGGTTTCCTGGTTTCTAGCCTGGTGTTTAACCATGAGACTATACTGTTTTTGTTTTGCTTAACAACAACAACAAAAAAAAGATAACAAGATTGACACTGAAATTACTTTGTTTTTCTACTGTATAGATTTTGCCTATTCTTGCTATATCCAGAATAGATATTTCTTATTTTTATCATTTTCAAAAAGATAAAATCAGACACTGTATCTTTTCTTGACCCCAAGTCTATTAAAAAAGCTAGCCTTAGAACGTAATTGGGAAAATTAAAAAAAGCTACCTGATGTAAGTTCTGCACTCTGCCATATAACCTTTTAAACTATTTGTATTTTCAGAGAGTGTATGTTTGATTTAAAAAAAAAAACTTAGAAAAATTGAAGTCTACATTTTAATTTAACACAATAAATGAATAAAATGTTCATTCTCTTTCTAAACGTTGTGAACTTTTGGAATTATGAATTCCAAATGTGTAGTTATACAGCTGCAAACATTAACAATAGCAAATTTAATATCTTTAATTACAATTTTAAATGCACTGCATAATTCTATGTCCATGTGCGTATCTCTTTTACCTTTTACCTATAAATAACAAATCAATCCTCCCCAATCCGATGTCTTTCAGTAAGTAAATAAGTCAGTAAGTAAACCTTTATTATGGTCTTTGACCACCGCGTGTACACATACACACATAAAAGTTACTTAGTATACATACATTCCATATATACCCATATGTATCATACTATACATATTACATACACATACTACTAATATATATATATATATATTAATGTATATTAACTATACACACACATATATACACACACACACACACACACACACACATGTATGTATGTATGTATGTATGTATATATAAAATTCCCTGGGAATGATAAGCGTTCAGGGTGAACATGTTTGGGAGCACCAGTCTGGGAAAAGCTGCAGTTGATTACCCATAATTTGTAAAGGAAAACTATAATTAATATTACAGCCCATTTTTCTTTCTTTTTAATGGCATATATTCACTTATATTTAAAAAAAACCATATTGGGCCTAATATACTTCATATCAATAGCCATCATGCTAGAAACAGGAGACTTCGGGACTACTTAATCTTTAATAAGTAGGTAAAAAAGAAAATTCATTTCTATCTGGTCTTCCAGAGGTAGGGACACCACATTGTTTTTTGGATTTTCCATATCTTGTAAAACTCATGCATACACACTCAGGGATGGTGAAAATCAGTTTCTTTTGGTTTGCAAAAATGATAAGACTCATCCATGTTTTCCAAAGAGAATACAGAATGTCAGGCATGAAAGATCCACAGTTGAAGGTCCAGTTAAACTGATTTATTGCTACTCATGCCTATGCACAGGAATCTTCTCTATTGATGGTTGGCACTTACTTGGAGTCAGATAAGAGTAAATGAAGTTCAAGGGGGGTTGGACTTAGTCCACTTGTCCAGACTCCACCTATGTAGTCCACTGGTTACATACTGTAGGGTTTCTAGACTGATTCCTCTTTTAACTCCTCCCCCATGTTCTGCCACTCCTTCTACAGAATATCCCATGGGGAAAAATTTTCTCTTGACTTTCTGCTTGGGGAAGGGTGATGCCCATAAATACGAAGCAGCATTAACCAAACCTTGATTTAAGTTAACCATATAATTTTTGGACTCCCAGGTTTTTGAAAATTACTTGGGATACTGAAAATGATTTAATAGAATAAGTACTTTGAATGCTCTGCAGGAATAAAAGCTCTACATTTTATTGGAAAGTCCAATGTTTGTACAATTCTTCTAGGAAGAAACATTGGTTTGTATTTGCAATGTAAAAATCCTGCTTGTTCCAGTTTTAAATAACTTCAGTTTTTATATTCAAAAATAAATTATTGTATAGATGATAAAATCAAATGTCTGTGGAACAGAAATAATAGCAATAGCACTTAGACTTACAGTATATATCTCCCCATTGTGCTTTATTGCACTATCTGAGTGGTTTACAATGTCAGCATGTTGCCCCCAACAATCTGGTTCCTCATTTTACCAACCTTGGAAGGATGGAAGGCTGAGTCAACCTTGAGCTGGTCAGGATCGAACTCCAGGCTGTGGGCAGAGTTAATCTGCAATGCTGCATTCTAACCACTGCGCCACCACGGCTCCTATTAATGCTGTTAACATATTTGAATGGACAAAATTACCTCATCTGCTGCCAGTGCTTCTAGCAATTATTTTTCTTGCCAAGAAATAAAATATGTTTCAACAAAGATTATTTCCTAGAGTTTAAATGTTTGAGCCTGGGCATTGGCAGACAGGGGAAGGTATGACAAATATTGAAATGTACACTGTGAGGTTGGGACAAAGACTGTATCCCTTTTGTATTTGTGTTGTGATGTCCAACACATTCAGGCAGGTAAAGAATGGAACTGTGGTATAACAACACATTTCATCACTTGTATTTGAAAGGGTAACTTTTATGTTTGTTAGAATAGTTTGTCCTTTGCCTCAATATATTAATATTATATTGTAACATTTGACCAAGGTAATGATCCTTCAGATATTTACATTTCACACACACCCATAATCTTGAGAATTATGTTATGAATGTCTTGGATTATAAGTAGAACAAGTAATACAATGTGGATGAAGTAAAGATGGCTAGTTTTGTGTAGTGGATAAGGTATCAGGTTGAAACCAGGAAGCCCATAAGCTCTAGTTTTGCCTTTGGTGTAGAGCCAGTTGGGTGATACTGCACCAGTAATTCTGTCTCAACCCTAGAAAGATGGCAATGACAAACGATTTCTGAAATCTTGCCAAGCAAACTGCAGGGATATATTCGGGCAATCATCAACACTGATTCAAAGGAACAACAACATCAACAAAAAGTGTCTGTATAGGTGTGTAGGGGTACTTTTAAACCCAACGCTTGGAAAAATCAGAGGCACAGGCAGGCTAGATACAGTAAAGAGATGATAGAAGAATGAGCTCGCAAAAACTGAAAGAAACAGTCACCGATAGATAATCCTGGTGAAATTACATCTGTTACAAAACACTGAAGTTTTGTCCTAAAATGTAATACACTCTAAATACAGACACAAAGAAGATAAAACAAGAGAAGCTAATAACGGCAGGTGTAAACATGAACCTGGCTCAAATTTCCCTACTTTGGACACATTCTGCAAAGACCTGTAGCTGTTAGTTGCGAAGTCATGTCCGACCCATTGTGACCCCGTGTACAACATTCCTCCAGGCTTTCCTGTCCTCTACCATCCTCTGGAATCCATTTAAGCTCATGCCTGCTGCTTCAGTGACTCCATCCAGCCACCTCATTCTCTGTCATCCCTTTCTTCTTTTGCCCTCAATCTTTCCCAGCATTAGGCTCTTCTCCAGTGAGTCCTTCCTTCTCATTAGATGGCCAAAGTATTTGAGTTTCATCTTCAGGACCTGGCCTTCTAAAGAGCAGTCAGGGTTGATCTCCTCTAGGACTGACCGGTTTGATCGCCTTGCAGTCCAAGGGATTCGCAGGAGTCTTCTCCAGCACCACATTCAAAGGCCTCAATTCTTTGGTGCTCAGCCTTTCTCATGGTCCAACTTTCACAGCCATACATTGCAAATGCAAAGACCTGGTATTGGAAAATACTCAAATGCTGGAAAAGATGGAAGGGCATAGAAGAAGAGAACAACCAACAGCATGACGGATGGGCTTGGTTACAGTGGTGAGGGGTGCACTGTTGAGCCAAGTTGGGGACAAATCCTCCTGGGGAAACTCCTTACGTGGTTGCTAAGAGTCAACACTGACTTGATGGCAATAAATCAATCTATGAACAAGTAAATAGCATACTATGCAAGCAAACTTCTTATACAAGACCTGAAATTAAAGATTAGCTGGGCACACAGATTCATTTATTATCCTACCTTTACTTCATACAATCCACGGTAGTATATATGGCACTTCCTCCTTCTATTTTCCCACAGCAACAATCTTGTGAGATGGGTTGGGCTGAACTCAAGGTCACTGAATTGACTTCTGTGCCCGAGGGAAGACTAGAAATCAAGCTCTCCCTGTTTTCTAGTCCAGCACCTTAAACTCTGCACCACTGCCCGCATATTCAGCCAGTCTATCCCCACTCTTTTATGGGAAAGTTTTAACAGGGCTTCTACCTGAACACGAGTGAAGTCTTGTGACCAACTGGAGCACTGATAAAGCAGCATTTTCTACCCACATTCAAATGAAAATGAGGAGAATCAGTTTTCAATCTTTATTTCCCATAGCGCTGATGGAGATTTAGCGTGGTCTTTTATTCCAACAATTCTTTAATCTTTCAGATAAGCTGCCTGTGGTTTCTACACAGGAAACTGGCTTGTATGCAAATACTTGGGATTTTAAAAGGTTGGGAACTGCACCCTCAGGTTACATAAAACAGCTTAACTACACATAATTACTTTTTTAGTTTACTTTATTTTTGCAAAATAGAGAGGGAAAAAGAATGATTAATCTGAATGTGAGATTGAAAGAAAGGTTGCATTTTTATTCTAAGCCCATACAGGCAATATATGTACTAAAGTTAATAAAGGTATTGTGCCTATGGAGTTTGGAATCTGTTTTCCCTCATAGCTCCTACAACTATTATTTTTTCATCCAATAGGTGTCACTAGTATTCAGTGGCTTAGGAATAGTGGCTCAGCATTTTTAAAAACCAAAGCACTTTAAGTCTGGTGATGGATGATCGTCATACTTGTTTCACTGGTGTATTGATTAAACATAAGTTCTTAATGAAATTCATCAATGTCACTTTTTCTGATTTTTGACGTGCAGAGATGGAACTGTAACGTCCATTTTGCCCTCTTGACAGAATGTATCCTTCAATCTTCCACCATTCTAAGGCAGAAGCTGTTTAGGTTTATAGCATTGTGGCTATATGTTTCTTCCTCTCAATGCTTCAAATACCTAATAAGGTTTGTGCTTTGTTGCCTCAAATGATTAATTTATCATTTAACCTCACACAAATCCCCACAAAAGGTGCTACTAAACTTCCTCAGTCACAGCAGCATTCTGATCAACATGTATGACAATTGTGATTTTACATTTTTTTAAATGAGTGAAGTATATTTTTTGTGCGTGTTTTTAAGAAAATCTAATTATTAAGTTAATCAGGGAAAATGTTAGATGCTGTTGTAGGTGCTCTGTTAGGTTTGTGCTATTCGCTTATTATTATGGTTTGTTGCACAGTCAGCCAAATGTTAAGACTGGATCTGGCATTTTTATCCACCTATCGTGTCATTCCCAAGGATTCTTGGGATAGACATAGGTTGATGTTTGATGGTGTTAAAGATGTCATCACTGGATATAAACTGTTCCCAGTAAAGCTGCCTTTTGCAATTGATTGATGGTGAGTTTGCCAATGCCAATGGTGTTGAAAGTGGCGCTCCAGTTGTTTTGGAACTGTACCCAAGGCATCTATTACCATTGGTACAAACAGTTATACTAATTATTATATAAAGAACGGTTGCAGAAATTGAATATGTCTGGTTTAATGAAAAGAAGGACTAGTGGTGACGTGATAGCAGTGTTCCAATATCCTAGGGGTTGCAACAAAGAAGGGGGAGTCAAGCAATTCTTCAAAGCACCTTAAGGCAGGGCAAGAAGCAATGGATGGAAACTAATCAAGGAGAGAAGCAACCTAGAACTAAGAAGAAATTTCCTGACAGAACAATTAATCCATGAAAAAATAGCCTCCAGAAGTTGTGAATGCTCCAATACTGGAAGTTTTTAAGAAGAGATTGGGCAATCATTTGTCTGAAATGGTATAGAGTTTCTTGTCTGAGGAGGGGGTTGGACTAAAAGACCTCCAAGTTGGCATCCAACTCTGTTATTCTGTTATTCCAGTAGTTTTGCAGCTGGCAGCCCTGGTTGCTCAGCCAACAATCCTGAACCTTGTAACCTGGTAAATTACCAGATGTTCAGGAACTCCAAAACCTAATGCAATCCTTGTTGACCCAGGCAACGACTGATCCAGTATGGATTTCTGTAAATTAGATCACACCATATGATTTATGGGGGAGACACTCTTCATCTGACTCCTCTGGTAAGCCCAGAATGGTTGAACCTCTGGCTTAGCTCTCAACTTCCTCAGAGCACACAAGCTCCACAACAATGTCAAGGAGTGGGGGTCATCATCATCATCTAAAATTAGTGGTCCCTGAATGAGATGGGTTCTCCATGGCTTGCATTTACAGGTAGTCCTCAACTTACAACCACAACTGAGCCCAAAATTTATATCGCCAAGTGAGAGATTTGTTAAGTGAATTTTACCCCATTTTACAACTTTTCCTGCCACAGTTGTTAAATCAATCACTGCATCTGTTAAATTAGTAACACAGTTGTTAAGTGAATCTGGCCATTGGCTTGTCAGAAGGTTGCAAAAGGTGTTTGTGTGACCCTGGGACCACGTCAACCGTCATAGATGTGAGCATCCAAATGTAAATCACATGATCATGGCAGGGGTGGGTTCTACTTACCTTTACTGCCGGTTTGCAGCGGGGCCGTGCGCTCTTCTGTGTTTTCGGTGATGTCGGAATCGGTGGGCAATGATGTCAGAGTCGGTGGGCGGAGCCTCCCGCTGGTTTTACTACCGGTTCTATAGAACCGGTGCGAACCGGGGGCAGCCCACCACTGGATCATGGGGATGCTGCCACGGTTGTAAATGTGAAAAATGGTCATAAATCACTTTTTTCACTGGTGGTGTAACTTTGAATGGGCATTAAACAAACTATAATAGTATATAGTATGTTGAAGGTTATCTGTATTTTTTTCTCCAGTTTGTCCTTCCTCCTGCCTCTTCATTCCTCTTCTTGAAGTTTCATTTTCTTTTCTCTTTCTAAACAAAAGAAGGAATAATGGCAAGGGATTTTAAGCTTTTTAATTTAACAATTAAAGGCATTGCAGAGCAAAAGGTGCCAGTATACTAGTGTGCCTTTGGCCCTCCTAAGTAGCGGGGAGAGCTTACTGTGTGCCAGTAACTGGAAGCTCTATGGATGATTGTCTGTAATATGTCCCTAGCAGCATTTCTTGTAAAACTATTGTACTAAAATATCAAAGCTTCAGGGAAGACGGGCTTGCACTGATTCAGCTATACCTAATCTGCCTATGGAAGATGAGCTTAGAGGAGGGTCCCCCCCTCTCTTGTGGTTAATCAGTAATCCCCTTTCAACATAATATGAAAACACAAATATGCAATGCCTTGTCTTATCTGCCATTCACAGAAAATTGCTCTGACTAGTCACGAATAGGTTTTTTTTTTTATATATCCGAGGGAATGAAATTCATAAATCCATGTGACCCAGTTAATTCTCAAGGTCACATTCTTCTTTGTTGCTAGACGTGTTTTTGTTAGCCCTCATTTTTTTCCCCAAGAAATGTAACCATACTTTTGTGGTCAGGCTTAGCTTGCACCACAAGAAAAGCAGGTTGCCATATCCTGCTCAGGGAACCTATTTCTTCTCGAAAGGCTAAATATTCCCCAAAGTCTTGGGGGCGCTTCCCAAGTCTCCTAAAAGAGGTGCTGGTCTCCGGAGAGGAGAGGCAGGTGTTTTTAGATAAATAATTCAAAAATTTGACATGCTGCCTGTCCTACATGTACTTCTCCAGTACATTCTGGGGTCAAACATAGCAACCCTGTGAGGAAAAGGGAGAGTAACTTTGAGTATGTGACAGGATTTTTAATCTGGATAATGGATCAGGTCAAAGCTGCGGCACTGAATTTGCTACATCATTCCAGCCTGTTTATTCATTGTATATATACTATAGAGCAGGGGTCTCCAACCTTGGCAACTTTAAGCCTGGCAGACTTCAACTCCCAGAATTCCCCAGCCAGCTTTGCTGGCTGGGGAATTCTGGGAGTTGAAGTCCTCCAGGCTTAAAGTTGCCAAGGTTGGAGACCCCTGCTATAGAGTCAAAAACATACCCAATGTTCTTTAAAATTAAATTAGCCATTAAGTCAATAAAGAAAGCTGTAACCTAAAACTCCAAGACCTATGACCAAAGAAAGCAAGCAAACATAAAGCATCAATCAATTCACCTCACATCCATACACTGCAAGGTGTTTGTTTGAGCTTCTTGTTCAGTTTTCTGACTCCTGGCAACCACCTAGACTAGTCCCTGCAGTTTCATTGACAAAGGTTTTTTTGGAAAATGGATTGCCCCTGCCTCCTTCCTAGGGCTGGGAGAGAGTGACCGGCCCAAGGTCACCCAGCTGGCTTTGTACCTAAGGCAGGACTAAAACTCACAGTCTCCCAGTTTCTAGCCTGATGTGTTTAACCACTACACCAAACTGGCTCTGAATGACCTACATTGCAAGGTAGGATATAATTAAAAAATAAATAGCACATGTAAAAACGTGAACGTATTTATATGCCCTCAAAAGGGCAGCCTTGAGAGTCCTAAAGCAATAGGGCTGCAGGAAAAAAAATCCCTGCTCCTAAACTAAATCATCAGAAAAGGCATTTTTCTTTAGTTGGGTGTCCCTTGGAGGGAGGGAAGGGGGAGGGAGGGAGGAAGAAAGTGAGTGAGTGAGTGAGCGAGGGATGGAGGGAGGGAGGAAGGGATGGAAGGATGGGAAGGGCAAAAAATATTCTTTGTCAAAAGTCCTTTGGGAATGTTTTCATGGTCTGTGATGCAAAGATTAACTATAAGAAAGCTCATCATTTTGTACTACTGTGCTATTATAAGTGTCTATTCTGAGACTCTTCCACCAATATAAAATGAGTGTTTCCTGTGCTTCTATGTGGGTCTTAACAATAGCAAATCAGGGAAGTGTTCAGCAAATGCTAATAAGCAATGGAGGCGAGCAACTTCAACCACATTTCTACTGTGTTTCCCCGAAAATAAGACCCTGTCTTACATTATTTTGAACCCTGAAATAAGAGCTTGGCCTTATTGCCATGCGCTCAAAAGCCCGATTGGGCTTATTATCAGGGGATGTTTTATTTTGGGAAACAGGGTAGTTGATACCCAACTTTTGAAAATCTGCATCATTGGCAACTAAAGTAACTACCGGTATGCTGGTTTCAGTTAGAAATACAAGGTACCATTACAGAAGCATTTCTCCAAACATTTAGTAGGGCATATCTTTCTGGAAGGAGCAAATCTTTCTTTTCAGACTTTTATTTTCTTCACAAACACATGGCATGTTGTTCTGCAAGATTTTTTTAAAAGATTTGTTTTCATTTGTTCCCTTCTCCTTCCTATCAGATTTATCCAGATATATGGATCTGTTAATAAAAGTTATTCTATAATCCCTATTAACTTCTCCTGAGGGTAGACTTGCATCACAAATGTTATTATTACAATTTCCAAATCACCTGTGTTGGATTCAGCTTAATAAATTTGTCAGAAAACAAATAGGCATTTAATAGGGATCTTCTACAGACCAAAGGCTTTTAAATGTTCAGCAGACTGAATTACTGGAATGGGGAAGCAGGAGTATTTTGTGGATGATGATGATGATGATTATGGATAGCCCACACACTAAGCCACTGCCCAAATACACTTCCAGGAGATAGGAGAAGCTGTACCAGAGTTTGTGATAGGGAAGGGTATTGTCCTGAAAAAAACTCCACCATTATCAACCAACCTTCCAGTATTGAAAGGTTCTATTAGAACACACCCATTCCAAAATGCTTATTGAACTGGCTTTCAGAAGGACAGGCAACATGGTTTCTGAGCTATAATGCATGGCAGTACCATTGAGTAATGCACGTACTCAATGCTAAGGGATGTTGGGAGCTGTAGTTCAGCAATAAAGGTGGGATATAAATTAAATAAATAAATAAACATGTATGGCACTGTATGTTTTCCTTGAAGAGCAATGACTCAGAGCTGTATAAAGCTCCCAAAATCTTATCTACTACTATATTACTCTTAAAAAGCCATTATTTATGTATTTTATATATTTCCAGTTAATCCTCGACTTACAACCCCAATTGAGCCCAAAATTTCTGTCGCTAAGCGAGACAGTTGCTTAGTGAATTTTGCTTCATTTTACGACTACTTCTCACCACAGTTGTTAAGTGAGTCATTGCAGTTGTTAAGGTAGAAACACCGTTGCTAAGTGAATCTCGCTTCCCTGTTGACTTTGCTTGTCACAAGGTTGCAAAAGATGATCCCATGGCCCTGGGACACTTTACGCATTTTATGACTTTTTGCTGAAAAATGGCCCATAGCGAACCATTGGTTTGCTTAATGACCACCAAAAAAGTCATAAAATTGGGTCAATGACATGGATTCACTTAAGACCATCACAATTTACGACCATGATGGGCAGCTTCCATTACAGTCATAAGTCAAGGACTATCTATAGTCGGCTATTACCTGCTGATGTTACTGTTATATTTATTTTAGCTAAAATATTTTGGACCTTTTAAAAATATTAAATGTATATTTGAAATATAATTGGTGTACGTATACCTGTAGTATAATATTAAAGAAATTTGTTAAAAACTCTCTTTGCTTTTTCAATTTTTTCCCCATTTTTCTTTAGTTGAAATGCTCAATTGCAAGCTGAAAAGCTGCACGTTGATAGTTATGATTGACTAAACTTTGACCTTATATATTGGCTGATAGAAGAAGGTTTGATACTTGATGCGGGGTGGTTTTTTTTTTAGTGAAATAGGTTTCAAAGAAATCAGTTATAATACTAAAATTCTCAGAAATGTTGTGAAGGGTTCCATTAATATAAATATGGGATATGCCTATTTTATTTCCAAGCTTTTTCTTAAGTCATGACTTTCTTAAGCATGACTTTCTTAAGCTGCAAATATTTGCAAGATACTTATTATGCCAAACTTCAGGTGCTGGAAATGAGTCAGTCAGTGGCCTGTCCCAAGTTTCTGCTAAGCAAACAGAAATGCAAACAGGTGTTTTTAGAAAGTTTGCAATGTAACTGACTGAAAACTGTATGTATTGATTTACAGTATCATGTGTGTACAGTAGGGACATAAACCCTACTATACAGTGCATATGAAATATAAACACAAATGCTCTTAACAAACCTGCAAAGTTGAACTTCAAGCCAAACTTGGTGCAATGTTGAATTTCTTGCTGTAGTGTGCATGTTGAGGTCGGAATGGGCCAAGTTGCTGTGTCACCATGGCCTATTTACCGCAGGACAACTCGCCACAGCCAACTCGCTATGGGACAATTTATTTATTTAAGGAAATTTATATTGCCGCCTATTCGCACATGGCGACTCAAGGCGGCTTACAAGTATATAAAAACCTCATATATAAAACAATAAAACTAATAAAAGAGAATAACCATATATTAATATAACAAAATAACCCCCCACCTCCCGCCCTGGCGACAACACATCACACGAGCCATTTAATGGGCTCCATCCCACTTTGCTTTCCCCAAGCCTGCTGACAGAACCAGGTCTTCAGCGTCTTCCGGAAGAGTGTTAGAGTGGAGGCCATTCTAATCTCTGGGAGAATGATGTTCCAAAGAGAGGGAGCCACTACAGAGAAGACTCTTCTTCTGGGTTCCACCAGGTGTATCTCCCTAGGGGATGGGACCCGCGACATTCCTTGCCTCCCTGCTCTGGTGGGTCAGGTAGATGTAACTGTCAAGAGATGGTTTCTCAAATAACCTGGTCTCATGCCATGAAGGGCTTTAAAGTGACAACCAGCACCTTGAATTGCACCCGGAAGCAAATCAGCAACCAATGCAACTCCCGCAAGAGAGGTGATACATGTGCATACCGAGGTCTGCACAAAACCATGCGGGCTGCTGAATTTTGCACCAAATGGAGCTTCTGGATGCTCTTCAAGGGCAGCCCCATGTAGAATTTAACAATTCTATTTAGTTATTTAAAATAAATTT